CTATTAGAAACAAAGCACAAAGTGAGAACATATGGCCCCTTTTAAATTTCCCACATTTAAGTCAATATCGTTTCTTTTCTCCTTTGGCAAAGAAACATAATACGGTTTATCTTCTCCCTTCCTAAATCTGCTGGCTCTCTCAAACTGCTTGTGCCAATTCAGCAGTTACTTTGCAGTATCAGACTTGGCAGCACATATGAAAACAAAATATCTAATTTTTTAAATTGCTTTTATTTCTTCAGATCAAGAAGATGCATTTAAATGATGAAAAAGGACAAAATGTAACTGCACACTTTTAGATAAGTGGATTTTAAACCCATGAAAGGGCAGAGTCAACAGCAAAAAATTGTCTTGCTCAAGTTCTTTTCACAGTGACATCTTTCCGAACATTTCCTATCACTGACTAAACGGATGGAAAAGCATTCTGGAATCTAAGGCCTTACTGAGTACGAGTATCTGCTTGTCCCATGTCCCAGAGCATCCACAGAAACTGGTGTTGAGGGGCACAATTAGGCAATATGAGACACTGATGCCCTTCCTGAGGAAAAGAAACAGTTACTTGCCTCAGAATCACTTTGGCTCCTCAATTTTCTGTGTCAGGGTTACAGACATAGGGAACATACCTCTTGTGTGCCTGGAAACAGAAATTTTGACCATTGCTTTGGAGTGACTCCATCCTGCACATCCTTGGGGAGGTGGGTAACAGGGCATGCAGGAGGCTCATGGTGAGATCTGCTGTTCAGAGGATTTCCTTCACATTTGTGGGCAATAAAAGCAGTATCTATATGAACAAAGGCTCCAAGTAAAATAAACTTCGTTAACTGTTGTTAGAAAGATCAGCAGACACATAGTATCTTGTGGATGCCGAATTTATGATTCAGTTATAAAGAAAGAGGTTGCAGTGATGACTTTTTAGCGGAGTAAGGTATGGAAGTCTTGGCACACTCCTGAAAACACTATGGCTTACTCCTTCAATTCCTAATCACTAGCTAAAATTACTCCATATTTCAGACTGCTAAACTGCCAAGATTGTAATCTTTAAATTAATTGATTTAAGCATCCTTTTATTAGACAAGGAAAATTCTTATAAAAACCTGTCTCCGATCAGTGCAAGCTATAAGTGCCCCAGGGCCCTGATTCCAAGTGAGTGGAAATTGAAGTACCTCTGTTTACATCTGCCCATTCAGTAAAGCACACAAAGTTTCCATTGAAACCCATGGAAGTCATATGTGCAGAGCTATTGAGGACTATGGCCTTAACAGACGGCATACTCAAACAAGAAGAAGTTGTGATTATAGACATCAAAAGTAAAAAATATTCCCTGAGAAGGCTGTAAAGAGACAGGAGGAATGTGAGGTCCACAGTGCTGCTTTTTGCTTCCCTTCATACTTTTGCACTTACTGGAAACTTCGAGTCTCTAATTGAGCTTTTCCTCCCCTCCACTCCTTGAAGGGTGAGAGGGTTAATTGCTTTGGACTGGAACATTACAGTTTTCATACTCCTGCTTTGTAATGGCACGCTGAGTATGCAAGGATGCCCTGAGCAAGGATAGAATAAATAGCTCCAGACCCCATGGCCATGGGTATCTATAAAGCACCATATCTATGACTTTAAAAATCAGCACTGGCCAAGTGAGACCTTAATGCTAATTGCCATAGCATTTCACTGTTTATCTTAGTTGAACTAGCATTACCAGCCCTGGTTGTTAACAACCTCAAGTGGCACTTTATTCATCTATCAACAGTCTTATCCTGCGAACAAGCAAGCGAAAAACTATAAACACCCACTCCAAAGTCACTTTATAGGTTTAAGCTAATGCCCACAGAAAAAGACCACTCACAGAACTTCAGTGAGAACAGACAAAATACAACCTCCAAACCAATGTTTTAATCTACAAAGTTTTATTTGTCTTTTTAAACTTGTAAACCATAAAAAGAGCTTATCAAATATCTGAAATTAGTACAAGAAAAAATGATGACTCATATATCAAACTGCGTTTGAAGGTCCAAATTCCAAGACATGCATGGGGCTCTTCTGGCTTCCATTTGTGAAGGTGAAGACAAATTTGGCCCAGTTTGTTAGGTGCTTTATTAGAAAGCCTCAACGTGCTATACTTTGTGAATTGAACACGATGGGAAGGATTAAGTGCAAGAATAAGCACTCAGTACCAGAAGGATCTGAACCCCGTATCTTCAACCACAAAGTACAGGCTCACCAAAAGAGTACATCTCTTATCTGGTTGCAATTACAGGCTGCTTTGTCTATATGGACCAGGCACTCAAAGGAAAACACAAACCCCACTTCATAGGCATGTCATAAAAAACAGAAAGCACAGTGCACATAATTACCAGCATGCCTGATATTATTAGTGTTTGCCCATTGCTAAATTTATGAAGACTCTTAACATTATGCCTTCAACATTCTTGTGAAGCTTCTGGAACCTCCAACTCTCAGGCCCCGAAATACTAGGCTGATGAGACAGCCGATAGGTCCAGTCTGCCCTTCCTTGTGATAGAAAGATTATACTTTGTGACAGTAGATTTCACAGGCATCGTTAGTGCTTAGTGTTTAGAAAACCAGTAGATACCAAAGTTTTGGGCAACATTTGACCAACTTAGGCATGTTTGGAATCAACTGATTCTAAATATTGAAAACAACTGTAGAAACACCTCCGCTTTTGAAAAAATTTCCCTCAACTTGGACATGGACTCAGGAAACCAGGGCATCATTTCTTATTCTGCCACAGCCCTTGTGGCAATTACCTACAGCTTTCCTACCTTGCGCCTCCCACTGCACACTGGAGGTTGACCTCTTCTCGAAAGTCTTTCAAGCTTTCCTAGCGAAAAGCATCTGTGAACTACTGTTGCTAGTTTATGAACATGAAATGTACCATCAGAGATTCAAAAAAGTAATATGAATATAGCTTCTCCATACAGCATTTTCCTGCCTCTTGTCCATCTCCCCCCACCCCTGTTGGATAGTTCTGTGCTATCCCTACACTTCTCAAATCTTTCCATCCTTCCCTTGCCAGCCTTTCTTCACAGCTCTAACCCTCACGGTAATCCATCTGAATAGGCCTTAAGTCCTGCTATTTTAAAATGAAGAAATTAGAAGGCCTCATCCATATAATTTCTATCATTTTAGCTCAGTAGGATTGAATTATCTAGAATTATATAGAAACATAAAAGTAAATTAAAGCATCATTGAAAACAGCATTATTCAATAACTATAATCCAAACTTCAAATAAGATGCAGTTCAATGTCTACTGAATAATTTCAATATAAAATTATTTGCTTTTCTGCATCTGTTCTTTTTAGCCCATTTTGAGCATGTTTTAAATGTACACAAGCCAAAAAAAAAAATCCCAAACCAGTCCCTTCCAAGTCAGATCAACTGAACATCTGTCAAATATGCAAAGAAAATAAGTTATTATGTGATAAATTGAGGCTGGTTTTGCTGCTAAATGCATTAGAAAATAAGAGAAATCTTCCAGAAGATATTTAGAAAACACATTTCAGTTCATTTTTTATTTCATGGATTTTCAAACATGTTTCTGCTTGGTACATTTAAAAAAAGTCTGACAACTAACAGGATGTTGAATATGATTTGCTTCCCAGCAAAACCATGAATAAGTCATGTTTGAAAACATATTTTCAGATCTTGATGAACTGCATCAAGGTAATTAAAGGTGAGGCTTGATTAGCTGACACATTTCCAAACATGAACATTCTTGCTTGTACTCCAGGCAAAAATTATGGTGAATGTTTTTGCAAATTTTCTAGCATGATGAATTTTTCTCAAGTATAATCTAGGCCCCAAGGGGCCTAACTTTCCTGTTAATTGGAATACAAATGAAATCTGTCATTCAATAATTGACATACACAGTGACATATGGAGAACAGTAAGCATTGATCATATCGGTATATTTACGTGGCAGCTTGTAAACTGTTGAGCATACACAGTACTTATCCCTTTATAAAAGACCACCTCTGTCAGAATCCATCTTGTGCCATTCACTAACTCCTACCAGAGGGGACACACACACACACACACACACACTCTCACACATATGTACAGACAGATACAAATATATATATATACACACACATACACCTTTAAGGTACTTCTCCAGCTGCACTTTGCTGTTCTGTGCTCATGATGACTAGAGTAGGAAGGCAGCAATAGAGGTCATATATGTGGCTTTTTAATTTGGTATGGCCTTAAGGGGCTGGTCTGCCAATATGCCAGGAGAACTTGTACTTCATGACCCAAGGGCAGAACTGGGTCTTCATTTCTAACAGTGACTAAATGACATGTGGATGTTTCAAAGACATTTGGAAGTGCCTTGAGGTCCTCCAGTGACATGAGTATAAAGCACAGTATTTGCTGCTAATCTTAATTAATTTACCAGCTTGATCTCTTACAGTAAACTTCCATTTAATATTAGCAACCACAAACCATCAGCAGTAAGATGCATAAAAAATAAATACTGAAATCACTGTCTGAACATTACGTAGATTTCAAACCCACATTCCCGCAATGAAATTGTAGGCACTCTGAAGCCAGTGGGAGTCTGGCAGTCTCACCAGAGATTTCACTGGGACAAGATTGGACTTCACTATCCTTAGCTTAGTTTACTTAGTACTGGGTGGTCATGAAGTTGTGAGCAGATCTTAGCAATCCTTTTCAAAAATCTGGCTTCCTAAAAATGGCAGCTGGTAGAGGTAAGCAAAATTTTTCATTTGAAATTTTTTTTAGCAAATAGTGCAAATTTTGGAATCAGCTTCCATTTTGCTGAATTGCTTTGCGTAAAAACAGGAAAAAAAAAAAAAAAAAAAGTTAAAAGGCTGGAGTTTTCATTTGAAATTACTTCATGCCACTCCATTTTACTTTTAAATAGTAATAATATACTCAACTGATTTATTTTTTTTTCCTTGGGAATGAAATGTTTTGTTTAACCAGAAACTAATCTATCTTTAATTTTGATTTAGCCACAGTTTTTAGCAACTTAAAATTATATATATATATATATATATATATATATATATATAAAAGTTTTCAGAATTAACAAGCCGAAAAATCAGTTACACAACACAGGTATAACAGTAGGGGACAAGAAATTTACCTTTGAAACTTGATAGTTTATATATAAAACCAAAGCATACCCAGTCCATACCTTATGGCCTGATCCTGTTCCCAAAAATGTTAATGCAAGCTCTTTCATCAGTGGGATCTGCAAGCACTGAAAGTAATTGCAATAAGCCCCTGAAATCCACAACAAGAAGAAGGAAATATACTTTCTGAACTAGTAAAACTTTAATTAACAGGGGTTCTCTTGGCACAGTTTTGCTGTTAAATAAATAAAGTATTTAGTCAAAACCATCTATATTTACTATACAAAATACTGAAAAGCAAACATTTTTAAAAGATATGGAAATTTAAGGTTCTGTGAAAAGAAACTGTGCTACATGTTATTCATACTTAATGCACGTAACACAACTGCAACACAGTATTAAGATACTGTGTGTTCATACATGGCTGGTGTAAAGTTTTAGTCCGGGGATGCCACGTTATTAAAATGTATTTGTACTTCACAGAATCTGCGCAAGGTAAAATTTGTCTTTCGAATCTCCAAATACAATAAACCAAACCAAATCAATGCAAGGATTTAACCAATGGTCAGTTGTGTTACACTTCAGAGTCCATTTGTCACAGCTAGTACTGCAAACTTTTCAATCAGATGGGATTTTGTTACTGGTGCTGTTATCTTTTCCAGCAAAATATCTTTGGGTGAAAGAGCATTTATGCCCCTTTACTGCCCTTTCTTAGAAAAACCCACAGTTCTGAAAGCACTCTAGTTTTCCAGAACATTTCCTGGTTTTCAAAAAAAATCTGCATTAAAAAAATTGACTAAGAAACAATTCCCACCTCCCAGACTTTCTGGCAGATGCTCTACTGAAAAGAGAACAGCTTGAATTAGTTACTCAAAATAAATAGCATGGCATCCCTTCTTAGATGGAATGTACACTGGTGTGTTTGCATGCGGTATAACGTAAGTCACTTGAATACATCAGACTTTGTTAACACTATAATATAAATAAGCTTATTCCTTCTACTAGACATATAAATGCCTTTTTTTTAAAGTCCATAATAATATATACATTGAAAAAGAATGATACACAAGCAGCAAAAAAGGCTTAGACTAGAACAACTCAGTGGTAACTAACCAAATTTGTGGCCTTTTCATATTTTTAATACAGAAAATTCTGCATATAAATATTTTTGGACTTTAGGAATTTTTAAAATAAACAGAACAGTATAGTTGTCACACAGATCAAACACATTTTAAAAACATTTGTTAGATTTAACAGAACACACTGTTGACAGCTAAAAAAAAATTAAAATAAACCAGATTTTTAAAAGAGGACAATCAATAAGTCTAAACAACTGCTGATCCAAGGATACAAGAGATGGACCTAATTACCATGAAGCAGTGATTCTATTCCAATTCCACAAGAAGGCAAGGCTTTCCACTTTTCTTTAAAAGTTGATGCCTCCATGTTCTTAGAAAGGACATTCCTCTAAAACTGGTCAGCAGTAAAGTAATACCCCATTTTGGATTGATCAAAACTCTAGTCAGAAAAAAAACCCTACTCACAAAGGGCTTATAACAATGTGGGATAGTTACATTTTATAATATATACTATAGACAAAATACCACAACATTTAAAATAATTAAAACCAAAAGCAAATATGTTTATAGAACAATAATGTGAGGAGTTCTCTACTTTAATGTTCCAAAAGCAACGTAGGTGTTTTTCAGTCAGTTTCTACCTGCAAAATGGTGATCTGTACAAAACCCAGCTGAATGTATTATAAATCTGGGCCCCACAGAAAGTAAAACTTTGATGTACTGACCCTTTTTTTTTCACTTTTCCAATTTGCTTTTGACCTTCAAATTTCTCAGCAGCCAGTAAGGTCTTGTGAGTATGGTCTCATTCTCCTTCATGGAATGGAAGCCCTTTAATAAGGAAAAAGTAGAAGAGGCCAGAATGATTGTGCATGATATTTTTTTACATGTTGAATTGTCTCTATAATGGGAAAAGCACAACTTGGTAGGTGCTGGGGAAATTTAAATTGGAGGCATCTATGAAAATGCCATGGCGTATGTTTCTAAAAAGTTACTGTTGTGGAAAAAAAAATATTATAATGTTAATATTCAAACCACAGATTTCTAAAACACAACAAAATGTACCTGAGAGTGTGCATATTTATATATATATATTTATATTTATATTTTATATATATTTGCCAACATTTAAAGTGAGAAAGTATATTTTCCTCAATTCTTTCTCAAAACAAAGAACTGTGGATTTAAACAAAACAAAAACCCCAAACAACCCCTCTCCTTCTCAAACCCCCATGAATGATACTTACGGCCCAAGCACTAAAGTCTAGTGATGCTTTTGAAAACCCCATTTCACATCCTCCTCTTTTCAAACAGTTACCCCAAACAGAAGGGAGAGTAAGCAAGTGAAAAACCAAAAATAAAAGAAGTATATTTAAATATTACCAGTATATAACAGACTGTACTGTGTCAGTGAAGAATCTCCAAGAAAATAAAAGTGTAAGTCGTACACATGTAGCTCTGTTGACAAGTATAGCTAATATTTTTTTGTAATTATAAGATAATCTGAAAGGATGTGAACACAAACAGGCTACATGAATGCAGTATATTAAAATTCCCCCCCTGTAGCACATTACAATCAATAAAAAGAAAATAAAATCTGAATAATACTAGAGGTAGCAGCTGTTTGTATTTTCCATTATTTTGAGTATCTCTGGAGTCCAACCCTTCGAACATTGCTCCCCTGATAAAAGGCTTGTGTGCGATCAGCTGACATACAGCAGAGTGGTAAGCTAGATGTCTGCAATAGTGTTTGAAGTATCTTTCCTACTACAATGGAAGTAGTACTTGTAAAGAAGTGCGTTGATGACCTGTATTAAATCACAGCTCAAAAAGCTATGGCTGTTTGCTGTTTTACAAGCCACTTTTTAAAAAAAAATAAAATAAAATCCACAAGGTGTTTAAGCTATGCAGTTCCACAACATATAAATAGGGTAAGTTTCAAGAGTTCCATATAACCTCTAAAATATATGCTAGCTGAATATTAATGGAGTAACAATAATATTAATCATAATAATGCCTTAGTTCTGATATCACAAGAACGCATTTCCTTCATATGGGATGATTCTTGGAGGATGTTGGAGGGATCTCTTCTATGTCTGGTAGAAGTGATGGTAGTGGTGGTGGTGCTCGTGGTGGTGGTGGTGTTCATGTCTTTGTATCATTTGTCCAACTTGGCCTTCATATAAAATGACTGTGGGCAGGTCTCTCACATGTTCCTTTTCCACAACTGTCCCTGGAGACTGGAAGGTTTTGCACATTTGGTGATTCTCCTTTGCCCTCTGCTTATGCTTCTTGTGAACCTGTTGAGATTGCAAGGGGAGGTACGGAAGATTCTGGCCCACCCGTGCACTTGGGGAAGCCATTGGCATGGGCACCCCTTGAAAAGGTTTATTTCTGACTGCCCTTCCGGGATGCACAGGGGCAACATTTTTGCCCTGGGCCTTGGGAGACCTCACAAAGTGCTTGTTTGAGTCCTGGTTCCGGAGCCTCTGTTGGATTTCTGCGATCTTGGCATATGAACTTTCAGCCAGGTTGATGTGGCTTGTATCCACCACTTGAGATTTCCTATGGTGAGCATGGAAGGTTTCGGGTTCATGAGAACGGGATCTAGTCTGATTCACAACTCTGCTTGGTGGGTCATGTTTTTGAGCTGCTGGAGGAGATCCTAGGAAATAACAAGCTGAGTTAGTCATCTAGAATTTCAAAGTTTTAATTAGTAGAACGCAGTTGGCAGGGATAGCATTATTGGCAGAGTGAATTTTTCCTAAGGAAGGGAATGCAATTATAGCTGTCTAGTTTAATTATATTTAATAATTCTGACTAGTAAACAATACACACACAAATATACATACAGATCTATATGAGTGAGTGAGTGCGTGTGCGCGTGTGTGTGTGTGTGTGTAAGTCTTCACATTACCTTCTCTTGGTCATCATCTATCTGAAATTCACCAAAATAACCATGAGTGGAATAGTAAAATCTTGGCAGAGGTCAAGGGAAAGGGAGGAAATCCAAGTCCCTTTAATTTGGGGACAGAAGCCAAAATTCAAGGTATGAACCCATATTCTCCTACTTTTGGATCAGTAGTGAGTACAAATTATGTGCTGGTATCATCTTGAGAATGAGCTCCAACATCCAAAAATCAGTCCTCGCCTCACCCATAGACTAAACCTAATAATTTAGATGTAAAGATTGTTTCCTAGGCTCACCTCCAAGTTTAGCTACACAAACAAGTACTTCAAAGCAGGCTTGCAGCACATTAGCCACTCCGTCGTGATACCACCTTCACCAGTAATTACCTTGCAGTATTCACAGTCCTATTCCTTGCAGTAAGTCACTACAGACAAATCACACAGGTTCACAATTCACTGCCCCTGATGTGGAACATGCAACTGAAGACAAAAAGGTTGCAACATAAATTACCAAATTACCTGGCCCAAACTTTGATGTGTAGTTTTCTATTCCTGCAAGATCCAAATAGTGGTTTCTCCTTTCAATGTTCTCATCAACACAATGACGATAGCACCCACTTTGCTCTGGATTGTTTTCACTCTGGTGATATCTGTCAGCAGGAAGCAAAATTGCAGTTCAGCAGAGCTTCTTTAAAGTTGTTATCATCATCTGCAAACCAACAACTAATGGCCTCTTTGAAGTGACAGGAGTTGCTCAAAAAGAAACAACAAATGCTTGAAATTCTGGGTGACCAGATTTGCAAAGTCAATAGGCCTGAACTGACTGTTCTTTCCCCTCATGCTGATCAACCCCAAAGTTGCAAAGCAAAGGAGGCTTTCAAATTGCATCACGCATGTAAAAACAAATAAAAATGCTCCCAGGGTTTATTACATTCTGTCTTAGGACCAAACCATTCAACTGATTCTCCAATTTGGCCATGCCAAAGAAAACCTGCAGTTTGAGTCATAACTGTTCCCACTGCGTCATGAAGCACTGGGGTACACCTCGTGTCAGATAAACATTCATGTGTATCTGCTTCGGAAAGACAGGCAACAGCACAGGTGTAGTAACTAGAGAGGGCCTGAGAAGAGAAGGTGTTGGTACGACACCCAGAGATAACCACTGCTTTCCAAAATACAATTAATAAGGTCAGATCAGCCGCTGGCTTCAGAATCTCGACTCCTTTTCCTGCTCAGCTTTGCAATTTTATTTATAGCAGAACTATTTCCTGAGAATAAATATCTGAAATACCATTCATTTATGAGGCAGAAAAAAATCAGGCAGAGGTTTACAGTATTGTAGCCCATAATGCCGAACAATTTAATTCAGTAATTTAAATGGATGTCTGCAGATATGAACAATATTTTTCAATATAACAAACAGGATAAGCAGAAAATTCTTAAGTCACTGCCTGTCATTCAGATAGTTCGGTTTCCAAGACCACAAGATAGGCTTTGCTCTTTCTCTGTGCGATTGCACTGATGTCAAGCTAAGACCAGAATTTGGCCTTGGTATCCTACACCAGTTGCTAAATATGGGCTCAGTACTGTATGGCGCCCAGTAGTCCGCTTTTAGTCTATTAACACATTTCCAGGTTTCCAGAGGCTGCTGATTCCACTGAGCTTTGGCACAAACTCCTTTCCTGGTCTAGTGTAGTACTGTTCAGGGACATTACAGAACTGAGTCCCCCGTGTCTCTGTCAGACACAGGTCTATGGTTTCTTTGATAAAAGTCGCAAGACTTGACCTACCTGGAAGATCATTTTTGCTCTACTTTGATAGAGGTAGAGTCTCCTCAGTGGAGGAGAGTCTGCCTGGAAAGCAGGTAAGCTTTAAAGACTCTGAGTCTGCTTTGAACTCCAGAAGTGACATGGGGTACTGTCAAAAAAGAGGGAATGTCCAGATAGTCTTTATTTTTTGGATACATAGCCAAGTCGGTACCTTTCCTGCCTCAGACACACCTTGTTGTTACACTTTAGCAGGTCAACTTAAAAGATCTCTGGGGCTAGAACCTGGCTAACTGAAGTTGCCAGGCATGAACTGCTGTGGAAACCACGAGGACTTCCACACATGTGCTGAAAACAATACACAGTTAACCCAGAAAAAAAAAATCATTGGGTTTGATCCAACACAATTAAGCAACACTGTATACAGCACTGTCTGTTGAAAATGATGTTAACAGGGAACCCGTTTTTTTGTTACTGTAATAAATTCCATCTCTCATCAAGACAGTGAGGAAAAACCATGCCAGTACTGCCACAGCCCTGCATTCTCATAGCTTTCTTACATGCAGGATGACGTTCAACAATATTCATGCAAATATAAACAGTGAAGCAATTATATACTGATGAGAGATGTGCTCCACTGTCAGAGAGAACTTTGAGTACTTCTGAGAACTGAAACGTCTGGCACCGAGTTCCACAATGGTCTCCTGCATACACATGGGAAGACATAGGCATGCAGGCAAGCATCAACCATGCAACAAGCGCAGCACGTAAAAATATGCAGTGTTGTTAACTGGCCTTTGGTTCGGTTTGGTTTAGCTTTTGATAAAAAAAGGCATCTGCTTAAGTGTTTGCAGAGCAAATGAAAGCCCTTTCTAAAATTCCTACGCTGGATTGTCATCCTGACAAAATTTAAGCAGGAAAGAGAGAGTGAGAATGAGGGTAAAAGGAAGATGCTTTAGAGGCTGGTGTGCATCATATTTTCCCTGCTGCACTAAACAAAATACAATCTAGAATGGCATGAAGATACTCAATCTACAAAACTGCCTGCCAGTGCTCTTCCACCATCCATCTTCTACCACACACGCCAGACAAGCTAGCTGTGAATCTATTCACTTTCTCTTGATATTTGTATTAGCCTTACAGGTGAAAACTCCTGCCTGTAGCTTCCAGCAGATGAAAAATCTAACCCATCTCCCACCTTCAGGATAAAAACACTTCTATCCATTTTATCTTGAATATTAATCACATCTCGCCTAGAATTCCCAAGTGACTGAATTTGTGAAATGTTTGCACTGCTCACAAGTCCTCATTCCTGCATTCTAAAGGGAAGCCTGTGCATTAATATCATGAGACTCTGATGTGAGCCTTGGAGAGCTTTCCTGAAGGTTAGGCAATTTGGCCAGAGTGCACAAACATTTCTGCAACATACAGAGTGTGAACAGTTCCACATTTAATGAGATGCAACAAAAACTGTCAGATGCTGACAGTTGACTGATGCTGATCTACTCAGCTCAAGATACAGATTTGTTCTGTCTAAGAAGCCTGTAACCAAAGGGATAAGAAGGACAAATGCAGCAGAGCCAAGATTCTATCCCAACATTGGATGCCTCTATGACTGTGGATTTAAGTGCAAATGGCTGCTCTTCATAAAACCACATTTGCAAAATCAGGACTTTAAGGTGGATGGGAGGGAGATTTCAATATGAAAGGTGATTTTTGCAATAGGTTATCAAACAAAACCAGTCCATTAAATTCACACATCTGCTAATAGGCAGAGGGAATCTGAACAGCACATCTAAGCCAGCAAGCAAAACCACAGAGTATTCTTTAGTTCACAGAAAATTTTGTACGAGTTGTTAACAGAAGATTAGAAGTTATTTTAGTTTTCTTATAATTTGAAATTTGACTGTACTGGGATTTACTCACTGAGATAACTCACTAGCCATTCTCCTCTATCCAAAAAGGGAGGCACTGTGTTACTGTCATTTTTAATAAGACTGAATGCTCCTTCTCTTAATAAATTTATTATGTATTTGGACAAATATCCCTAAATCCAAGGAAAGCCAAAAGTGGATTGTTTTTTTAAATTTGCAGCTGAAGAAACAAACACAACTAATCATTCAATGTAAGCACTGTAGCATTTCAGCAAACACTTCCTCTGCCTTAGCATGAAACATAAAATCCAAAAACAGATCAAACCTATACATCAAGATGACCTGTTTGGAGCAACTGTCTACACTAAAATGCATCAAAATTATCTGCTTTTGATTTTTCTATCCATTAAAATACCAAATTCAGAAAAGGAGTAGCACACCTACATGTGACTGAGATACTAACGCTTAGCTGTAAAAAAATTTAATACTTGAAAAATACATTGCAAATTACTATAACAAACTCTGAAGTTCAGTGCAGGTAATATCTCTCAGGTAGGCAGAACTCATGATAACAGAATAGATATACATGATTACACATCTTCAGAGAAAAAAGGCTTGTTCTGGACTGGCATCCAAAATAATATTGTACGTTCTGTTAGGGAAGAACTAAAAGCATTTTTTAATCTAATTTGTAGATGGCTGCAAGTGTATCCACAGCTCTCCATAAAAGAAACCACTGTGCTTGTGCTTTATTGGAAATGGGTGCACTCTGAGTCACACAGGCTGGAAAGACAACAGACAGGTATTTTTTCAAGTGGTGAAATGCATTCTGAAACTTACGGGGGAAAAAAAAGATAAATTATCCCAATTTTCCTTCAAGATTACATTAAATAAACTGGTTCTAAACAAGCAGGCTAATTCCTACATGGACACTACCTAATAACTAGTTCCATAAGGGAGAAGTTGACCTAAAGTTGATGTGGCAGTGGGGAAGCGTGGTTTCTGGCAGGTGGGAGTCAGCAGAGATGGCCACTCTGTTAAGTCACTGTGAGGTAAGAAAGAGATTAATTTACTTCTCCTGCCAAATATACAAGCATGCTTTGTGAGTGGAGGGACCCCACAGCTGCTATAAGCCAGAACCACCTCAGCAGAAGAGAGAGAGCATGGAGCAGGCAGCATGCTAGCAGCTCTTGCTTGTTGCTTACTATGCAGACCACTTGCTGTAACTGATTGTCTGCTGCTCTGCTGCAAGCTCCTTTCTTTCCTCCTTCTGCTGGGTACTGTACACCCAGTGCTAGCCCAAAGCTGCTTCCTTTAGGAGGAAAGGTGGTAAGGAGAAGCAGGTCTGGTTATGACCTGGTGAACAAGATTGACTTAATACAGCTTGGAGCTAATCGAGCTGACCAGTAAAAAAAATTTTCTGGAAGAACAAAGAAAGGCAAGAGCTGCCCTCTATGAAGATGTAAAGGTTTTAGGACACTTGTAGCCCAAAGGCTGTGCTATAAACTCCACTAGTAGGCACAATATTTGCAGATGGCATCTAAAAAGATACAGCATGTCCTCCAAAGAGCCAACAGAAAAAAACTTGAGTACTGGGTGCTACAGATTTGTGCTTTTTTTGGTTTTAATATACAAAGTGTCCACCCATGGAATCTGCTGATGGTTCCACAGTGAAAGCAATGGTTGAGGCTTTCTCAGAGGAAGCCAGTGCCTGTCAGGAGACAGGGTTCTCTCCCCTTACCTGAGAGAAGCCCGCTGTTTCTTCTCAGAGCTTCTCACTTCTTCATTAGGCTTACTTTCAGCTCTATGCCTGGCACTCTGCAAATCTGCCAAGAGAAAATACATTATTTTCACCTTACTGCCCTTGCTGATCAGCATAACTAATGTGTTACATTGCAAATACATTTTTTCCTTGTTGATAGATCAAGATGTAATGTATCTTTTCGTGTAATCTTCTTAAAAGTGCTTTTGTCTGCATGACAGAGTCTAGGCAGATGTAAGCTTGACTGCAGGACATTAGTCAGGGCTAGCTGCAAGCCATGTGGCAGGTTAAATGGAGCCACATTCACACTGACATACTTGTCCCTCAGGAGGGCTCAACAGTTTGGAGCTCGATGCTGTATGAATGTATTTCACAGCTCCCCAGCAGTGCAATTTGCTTATGTCAGCACTTGACTGAGTGGATGTATATATTAAAACTAAAGTAACAAGGCTGTCCTTTCGAATAAGGTGTCCACATTTTCTACTGAAGTATTACTTTAAATACTTTTACGTATTTTAATTTAGTACTACTTTACCTACTGAAGTAATTATGCTGATACAACTATTATAGTGCTGTAATATCAGCAGAGCTAAAGTGATACAAGTCAAAAAGGCCTTAAATCTGCCTTGCTGTACACAAAGACACAACATATACATATGGGTTATTGTGGCTTCCAAAAAGAAACAACCAATGAGGAGAGGGAACCCTAATTTGCTTAGGAGACACTGAAAGGAGGGGAGGCAATTTTGCAACCAAGATCATAAAGCAGGTTCATGGGGTTTAAAATACCCACATAATTATTTGCCTTTAAGTATATATTTATTTGAATTAGCAAAATACAAAGACGAGTTTGTAAGGGATTTTTGAAGGTTTTTGTACTTTTTCCAGTGGCTGACTGCACATCCTTACCAGTATGATTTAACAAGATACTCTTTTTCTTCTGGCTGCCATCTGGTGCCACAGTAAGTTTCACTCGCAGAGTTTTGCTGGAACTAGGAGAATGGTTTACTGATGCATCAACTACCTCATAGATGGTATGAAGCAAGCTGGTAATATCCTATAGTTGGATGGAAACACAAAAAGATATACTATTGTGAAAATGGTATGAAACCTACAGCTTTGATAATTATAACTATTTTGGATTAGGGACAATTAAATGCTGAAATATCCTCAGAAGTCATTGAATTTAAAAGAGTTGAAATTGCACAGAACCTTACAAGCTTCATCAAATGGCGTAAGATTTATGAAATGGGGCAAGCCAGATCAAAATAATAATAGCCCACGGTATTTAGGTTTTCCAAACTGTGAATCAGCAAAATTGTGTTCTGTCTTTTCTTTGATTTCAACAGAACCCGGGGATGACCATTCACAGTGTGCTGAAAATTGAACTCACATGATCACAACAAATGCAGCAGTTGAAGATAATCATGGATATTATAGTCTTAGTACTTCTTGGGGCTTTTTTCTTGGGATAGTTAAATGGCTGATTATATAGAGGAAAACCAGTAAGAGAAGTAGCAGAACTGTAGACCTCAAGTTCGGAAACAAATGATGTCTGAACGTCACTCTATCATATGCATTTTGGGGTCTAGCTTATCTTGCAAAATTCAAACCAGTTCTAAACTTACATTTCTGAACAGCAGAGATTATCCAGTCAGGCCTATTACAGAACATTCTTCACACATCTCTTCAAAGGCAATGGGTCATGAACAAATGCTTACATGTGTGGCTATACCAGAAAGAACACTAGCCTATTTTAATAAGCCAGTTGTTTCAAACAGGAAAACCACTGTTTAGCAGCTGGCGATGCTCAAAGGTCTCTTAGGTTGATCTAATCCAGCCAGGCTCAAATAAGGTACTACCTTAAGCTGCTGTCGTGGTTTAACCCCAGCCAGCAACTAAGCACCACACAACCACCCACTCACTGCCCTGGTGGGATGGGAGGAGAATCAAAACTGTGTAAAACTGTGTTGAGACAAGAACAGTTTAATAATCGAAAGAAAATATAACAATAATAATAGTAATGAAAAGGAAGATAACAAAACCCAAGAAAAGACAAGTGATACATACTGCAGCTGCTCACCACCCACTGACCAATGTTGAGCCAGTCCCCGAGCAGCAATCTGCCCCTCCTGGCCAACTCCCACCAGTTTATATACCGGGCATGATGTCACATATGGTATGGAATATTCCTTTGGCCAGTTTAGGTCAGCTGTCCCAGGTGTGTCGCCTCCCAGCTTCTTCTGCCCCTCCAGCCTTCTTGCTGGCAGGGCATGAGAAGCTGAAAAAAACCCTTGACTTAGTATAAACCCTACTTAGCAACAACTAAAAATATCTGTGTGTTATCAATGTTAGTCTCATGCTAAATCCAAAACACAACACTATACCAGCTACTAAGAAGAAAATTAACCCTGTCCCAGCCAAAACCAGGACAAGTGCCAGGATGAAAAGGAAATCTCTTGGCTCACTGCTTTTCCTCAAAGGGATTTCACCCAAATTGATCTTGGGCACCAACCTAAGGCCAAGGCATACTGATCATTCTAGGCTATAAAGATCCCACTCAATCTATATCTGAGAATTTCTCCATGTTGGTCTTCCTAGTCCTTGATCTATCCTAGTAGCTAAACCCTTTCCAGATGCCCGCAAGCCCAAAGGAAATATCTGAATCATCTTTTGTTAAGTCTAACTGTTTCTGAGGATTAAGTCAGGTCTGTAAAAATTCAAAACCTCTACAATTTTTCCTCTTGCCAGAGGTCATACCCATAACAACAGCAGCATGAAGTTTCGTATGCCCGAATGGGTCCCAGCACTTTACTAGTCAATTTACCACATGGTTCTCTTTATCTAACCAGCTTTAAAGGTGACATAGAAATAATAATTGCTACTCACACAGAATTTCAGGAAATACTGACCTTATGGCCAGGAGAAATGATTTTACAGTACATGATTTTCCAGCTCAATATACAGACTGAATAACTAAATCCTAGAGGGTCCAGAGTTTGTCTGAACATGTAACCTCTCTTAACTTTTCCTGACTCAGTGGAATATCTCCAGACTTGTGAGTTCAAGACAACATATTCATAAAAAGAGAGCAGAATTTGAAGTCTCTCCTTTGTTTCCCCACTGATATATTTTTTCTATCATTACCACAAGAGTCTCTATACTGTTACTACCATGTCAGTAGCTGCTTTCCAGTCTCTTGACAAGAACCATGATCTAAAGCTTGAATGAGGGAAAAACTGCTCAGTGAGAATCTGGTGGACACCTCACAGCTCTTTAACACATCTCACTTCTCACACTTCCACCCTAATTTGAAACCCAGCCAGACCTTTAAATAGACACAGCTGTATCTGAACAGCCAGCTTGAAGGGCTGGATTTTCATTTCACCTATGAGAAAAACCCAATCAAGCAAGAACACAGACAAACAAAATATATCTGTTGTTTTATATGCCCTCCATAAATTATGTTCTAGGAGCATTATGCTATAATCCTACACCTAAATAAGCCAAATCTTCCCCTTCAGTAGAATATTTAAGCACCATTTATTCTTAACAGGGCTTTATACACTCAGCACTTTGGTGAATGGAGCCTTTCCCATACATTCCTTAACAAGCGTTGGTTAGCCAACATGGCATCTTTCCACACAAGGCTACTATCAAGAGGTTATTATCAACTCTTTCATTCACAACAATCTGTCCCCCTTCCTTTTTTTCAGCTACACTAGATGTTTGTACAAGCTGATCATCTAGTCTATTTTAACTTCAATAGGCAAAGACAAAAGTCTTTACTCCCACTGTCCTTTTAAATGATTTTTTTTTGCCAGTGATGAGGTCTAACTTGCTAACTGGCATACAATCTGCCCCTTGGGTTCTGTGAGGGTCTTTCTCAACAAGACGCTTGACTCAGCAGTTGAAAAAGTACTCCCAAATGCTGTCAAGGAAGGCCAGACACAGCATTTGTATGACACATACTTGGCAAGTCAGAGATATGTGCGCACACATATCACGTCAGGACAACTTGCATCTCTCAGCCAAACAGGCCCAAATTAACCCAAATTAATGTCCAGGCTCCAGGCAGTTTAAGAGGCTGCACAGAGGTATCAGGACACCTTGTGGCCTTTGCATTTCATTCCATGTTTAATACCCAGCCTCCTCCATGACAATCTGAACTGCTCTGCATTCTGGCACTGAATGAACACGGCCATCAGACTGGATATATACTGAGATCGAGGTTAGGGATATCCCTAAGTAACCACTTAATGCTTATGCTGATCTTCTAAATACTGACAACAACATTTTTATTATAGGATTCATTTATTTGTGGTCCTAATTTGTGGTGGGAATTCTAGCAAACTGACAGTTCTGATTTGGTCAAACAAATCTGCTTGGGTCATTCCCTACTCTGCCATCTACCAAGGTCCTGGCTGAGTATGTACCAGCTACAAGGCAGCTTGAACCTCCTGTTGCTTTCCAGTTATTGCTTCACGATTATAACATGCAAATTCCTGAGGCACTGATCTCGTAGGAATGGTCTTCATCAATGAGTTCTGAACTGTGACTAAAACTACCTTCTCACAGTCCTTTTTTTGGCAGCTAATATGGTAATGGCTTCTTGTGAAATGAGTAGTACTAGACCATTAACATATATGGAACAAAATTTGGATTTCATAGTTATGTCTGTAGCTGCCCCCAAAAGAATTTTCATCTTCCAGGAGACTGAGGCAATGTATGCTTCCCTTAAAAGCTGTCCCACTGAACGTTATCTGTATTTAAAATTCCTTAAAGAACTGCCTAAAACCATTGAGACAGCTTTAACTTCTACATACCAGCTTGTGCGTTTCATTGTCCTCAAGAAATTTAGCATCAAATATCAAGAATAAAAGCTTAAATAAAAGAATAAATGTTAAATTTTCCTCCCTTCTGGTACACCAACCAGCATGTCTCAGAGACCACCTACCAAACAACCTAACTTTTCCGCACAATGGATTACGATTTTTACTAGTCACGTGATTGAGCAACTGCTTTGCTTAAGACTGCTTGGCACTTCCCTCACAGAAGTTTCATTCCACATTTCTCAAATTTCCTCCCTTTTTACATGAAAAATAAATAAGATTTTTCAGTGTTTCTCATTTTCCCAAAAATATCATTTGCTCATTTTTTAAACTGAAATGGAATTTTAAACCATTTCTAGTTAAAAATCATTGTGGATTTTTAAAGTAGTATATTAAATAGGTAAAGAGAAATAAGAATTAAAAAAAAAAATTCTCTCCATTATAGCAAACAGATTATATTTAGAGAGGAAGTAGAATCTAACTAACTTCTGAGGGGCTTCTACCATGCAGAATTTCTGCTGGGATAGCTAGTTTAATCAAGTAAGAAAACTGAAACTATGACATTTTTCCTCAGAGGAAAACAAATGTTTGCTGGGTAGTATCCAAGCAGCCAGCACATGTCATACCCAGATTTATTTGTGTCTTGTTTATTGAACACCACGGTTGTTTTTTCCAGTGCCGAAGGATTTAACAGTGTTAATCTGTGTGTTTTTCACATCCTATTTTATCAAGCAGCTAATACAACATAGTATATTAAAAAGAGAAACTTTAATAGATTGTCAGAATACTTGCACTAGAAATATTAAAATGGAAACAGTTAAGTCCAGACACGTGTGGTACACACACGTATCTGCAGAACACTTTACAGATCTCCAGTAGGAGATTAGCAGGAATTTAGAACATTCAGATAAACTAATGGGCCCACAAAAAAATAACAAGAGCAAATTATACTGAAGTATTTTCATTCCTTACAGAACTCATGTGACTGAAAAAGTCCCAATTACGGGTATTAATTTTTTACTTCTAAGGAACATTAGTGGTACAGGGGTAACCCTATATTTTCTGTATTAGTGTAGCTTATCATCATAGAATTATCAAACTAGAGACTCCGTAGAGGCTTTTCCAGCAACATTAATTTAACAGAGTGAGATATTTGCACAAAAAAACCTCAAACCAAACCCAAAACAACAACAAAACAGTACCAAAACAAGAAACCTCCCCAAACCCGAAGGAGTTTAATAACACTGAAAGAAAACATTCAGTTTGATTCTTTGTAACTTGTCTGGGAGACACGTCTTTGGCTCCCCTCAAAACCAAAAGAGAAATTCCTATTTTCTCTTAATATTTCTCTCTGACACAAATCCAACAAATCTAATGGCTGAAATGACGGCCCCTCTGATACAGACAGGCACTATTCCTCTATCTGTTGGTTCCACTGCTCTTTCTATATCACGAGTTAATACAACATTGACAAACAGTGAAAACAAGAAAATTTCAAGATAAGGGTCAGGCTGATAAATGGTATCCTCAAAAAAGCCAGTATCTTTCCTTAAGTCAAAGATTAGGTGATGAGTTCTGAATGCAGAAGTAACCTCAAACATTTACACTCATTACAGATGATACAAACAAAAATAACTAAAAAGGGAAAGAAAAAAAAAAAAAAGAAAGGAAACATAAGAGGAAAAAAAATGGGTATTTAATGTATGATACAAAGAACATCTTTAGCATTAAAAATGCATGAAGAGAAACATCAATATCAGTTCATTACTTTTCCCTCAGCAAAAGAAAAGTACAAATGTCTCATTTGTACTTTGTTTGTAGTCTGATTTTTACATACAGCAGGATGTTTTTATTGCAACATCAGCTTTGTTTGATCACATACATTTTTGAATCATTCTTATTTGGAACCTGAAAGGAGCTTCACCTGCTATCTACTCAACAACCAGTCTAGAAGAAATTCCTTTTTTTACTCCTGACAAGCAACTTTCTTGTGTGCTTATTCCTGTACAGCCACTCACCAAAGAAACTCAATTTTCCAAGAAAGATCTGATTTAAAAAAAAAAAAAAAAAAAAAAAAAAAAAAAAAAAGCAGCTACTGTTTATGTAGTATAATTACATTCAGAGAGCTTGATATAAAACCTCATGGATCAAAACACATTAGTTCAATTATCCAAGTTTCAAGTCCGATTACAAATATCCGTGTGAAGATAATTACAGTGCAGCTGTCAGTTCTAAAAATGCCTGCAGTATATAATGAATTGTCCTCTTATGGCTTATAGAATGAAGGGAAACATTATTAGCCAAGTTTTGTAATATACATATTAGAGCAGGAAAAGTTATCTCCCACCGCACCAAAAGGACTGAAAAATAGTCATCTTCTATGACAGAAAAAGCAGTAGTTTAATAATATACAGTAATGCTAATTTTATAATTTGCCATCCCAATAATTATGCTTTCATAATGGGTGTATCTCTTCAACAAGCATGACTAGATCTGAATTTCTAATTATAAGGACTACGGAATATGTCATACACACTCTAGGAGGAAATCAAAGGAGTATTAAGTTCTGAAGATGTTGTTAAGATCCAGAAGAAATTTCACTAAGATGGAATTTGAATGCTCTTGTGGTGATCTGCCATTGTGTAAAACCCAAGGGAAATTTTATCCAGTAACTAAATCCATATCTTATTTAGAATTTTCAAACATTTTAATTAAAAAAACATTCAGTCCACTTGTAAAATTGCACCCCACCTACATGTCTCTTACAAACTTAATTTAACACTGTGCATTCCTTTGGAAACTTTCTGGACATGAAGTCCAATGTTTTAAACACAATGTCTCTGAATCAAATGAAATGGATGTGGGTGGGCAAGTCACTTCCTTTTACAGTGTCTCACTTTTCCAACATGAAAAACAAGAATGATAAGGCTGACTTCTTTTTGCAAAGCACCTTGAGGTGCTTTACAAGTCAGATGATAGAAATCTGACTTAAGAAATTTCATCTCTCTGTTAAATCCAGCTATAAATCCCGGATACATTAAAGTGAAATTTTCAAAGAAGGAGAAAAGGTCTGCACTAGGCTTTTCTCACCAGAACACTGGACCTTTGTTTAGAAAAGCTGACAGGTTCTGAAAGCATTTTCATCAGCTCACTAAATAGCACGGGTACCGATCAGCCCTCTTCCTCAGACTGTCCATTCTGTCCCTGACCCAGCGATATGCTTCACACACTTTTAACTCAAAGCATGTGTCCCATTCATTTTAATTGAAACTATTCACATGTTTAATGTTAGCCATCATTAAGCCCTTTGCTGGATCAGGAGCAGAGCTGCTTAACAAATGACAGTATCAGGCCCGCTATGTTGACTGCCAGTCCCTATGGGGCTAATAGAGCAAGAAATTTTGTGTTGTATGAAGAGACTGACATTCTGTTTTTGTGGTCAAAATTATCTATTATCTGTCCATTATCTATGAGCTGCTATCACTGGTTATTCTTGCACAGACAACTCTTAAATTGCATCTGTACTCAACAGACAACCAATGAGATAAATTATACAAATGGCACTGGAACAGCTTGCAGAAGTAGAGTGTAACATAATTGGGAAACTCTGCAATGGTCCATACTATTTGTTTCTATCTTTGGTCACATGTAAAGAGCTGAAAATTATCATCCTATTTGGTCCTTTGGTTAAAAGAATTTTTTTTGGCACAGGTTCGAGTCTGAACGTAGCAACCTCCAGACCTCAGAGCAGTATAATTTTCAATCCCTGCACAGATTTGGTTTCAGTTAAGCTGCAGTCTGCTCTTGTAGCAGGGAGAGGTAGAATTTGGCTGTAACATATTCTCTAAGTACAGTCAAATTAAGCTCTTTGGTGTACCACATAATCACAAATAATTACTGTATGCATCCTTAAAAGCACAGTCTCATTATGTTCAGCACATGGAACTCCCACTAACATTAATGGGAATTCCATGCCTGAATGTAAAGGACACCCATATGTGTGGGTTTGGGTTTTGTGTGTTTTCCCCCCATTCTTTCAGAGTCATGATAATCTTGTAATGAAGACTTAGCCTTGGGTTGCTAAAGATCTAGGTTCAATCTGCCACAGGTTCTTGTGAGACTTCAGGCAAGTGATTTTATTTTTCTGGTCTCTGTTCCCCATACATTAACAAACACAATACTACTTCCTCACCTCACCCCACCTTCCCCTTGCCCTCTCTCTCTGTATCTCCTCTTCCCATTTGAAAGTCTGGACTTGGCCTGTAACTTTCATCTGGTTATTCTCTTGCACGAGGGGCACAGATTTCATTTGACTATTCAAAGCATTATGAGTAGAAACAATTAAAAAATCCTAATAATGATGTTCATATACACATTAAAAACCCTGAACCACTACCACATTTGGCAGTTTGTTTGTAAATGTTAAAAGAGATTTTCTTCAGTCTTCTAGGAAAAAATTCTGCCCTCATTTGGTCTCTAAGGCCACTACACTTTCAGTATTTACCTTATTCCTTTCAATTAATTGTTAATAATTTTCACAGACACCAGTGTAGCAACCGAGAGAGACAAACCCCGTCAGTTATCTGAAGACACAGGAGGCAGTAAACACACCTCACAAAAAAACCAATGACAGCACATGGCAGTAAATCACAGTAAAAGACATTCTTCTAGAAGAAGAATCATTCAATTTGGAAATAGTTTTGTAAAAGGAGTGTATTCTAATCTATATATCCTCTTATTTGGCTTCTTATTTGCACATGAAACACAACTTGAAGACAACCTGATAATAAAAAAATACACACGGGTATTCTTTGATGGCCATTCACTATGCTTCTCCACCAAATATCGTCAATGGTATTTATACTTGGAGTGAGAAGGCAGAGATCGGCCTAATATTCATGAAAACAACATAACAGTATAGTTAGTTCTACTGGAAAGAATGTCAGAAAGCAACCTTGCTATTTGGTTAGCTTAACTCTGAAAAGCAGAATAGAAGCCAGAACAATATACATTTGCAGGGGTTTATTTTGACAATGTGTTTAGTTGTTCTGTTGTTTCAGATATTTTTCCTCCTCGAATGCCAGTACTATTTTTTAAAGACTAATCCCAGATATTAAACAACAACCAGCTTAAAAAGTGGTACAGTACATCTGAAAACAGTAAACTACTGGTGGGATATTTTCTAGGAGGGAAGGGTCCATGGTAACTGCTGTTTAAGTTGGCAGGACACCTCTATTTCATAGAAGAAAAAATGTTCCTGTTATAAAACACTTCTCTTGTTAGCAAATGCTGCACACAAAGGGGCAGCTGTACTTTGCTTACCTCGCGTGTGACTCTTCCGTTGTTATCAAAGTCATACAGTGTGAAGGTCCATTCTTGCCTGTTATCTTCCTCTACAGACACATCACATTGCAATTCCTAAGAAACATGCAAAGAGCAGCTGATTACCTAAAGCAAAAGGCCTGTTTGCAGAGGAGACTCTCTGTAGAAGGAGGCTGCTTGCTTTCGTCCTTCCTCCCTCCGCCCCTCATGGGAGGAAGCTTTCAGGATATGTCCCGGGGAGGCCTCTGTCCACCACAGTGAAGGAGCCTCATCACAATCACATGATAATCCTAACTCCCTTGGGCTAGACTTTGGTGGATCTGCAAGATGCTTTCTACTTCATTGCAGAAAACACAAAAAGGTAAAAGAAAACTACTCCCTGAAGCGCTTGAACTATAATAAGATTTCCCACAAAAAAGTGAGAAAGAAATTTCTGCTTAATTCAGGAAGAGAAAGGTAACAGAAATAGACTCACAGTACAAGGCGGTACACCACAGTGCTGGGAGTAGTCATTAATAAAAAGTGGACATATGGCACAAATCCCCACCAGCGAGGCCTGTCCTTGACACAGAAATTTGATAACGAAAGGTTGTCAGAGTTAGTGCAGTACAGCCTCATGCCACTGAAGCTCCTGAAATGGAGCATGCCTAGGAACTGGCAGGTAAAACCAACCTGGGAGTAGTACCTGGCCCTTATTTTAACTGTGCTTCTGTTAGTGAGAGTGTGATCTGTGAAAAGCCTGAAAGAATCAATTTGTTAAAGGGGAAAAAAATCCCCAAACCAAAACCAAGACTTCAGCGAAGAACAAAGGATGCACTCTGACTGACTCCAGTCACCTGGGTGCAAATCATTTCCTTTCTCTCAAGACCTGTGCAATCAGAATTATCCAGAGCCACAACAAGGCAAAACAGAAAAGTTAACAGTGCAATTAAAATGAAAGCCACTGTATGCAAGTAAAATAAACTGCTCCAAATAGCTTCGGCATGATAGAGCTCAAAATACCTGGTTGATCTTCTGACTTGAAACCAATTCCCTACAGCAGTTACTGGTACCCCCTGTCCCCTGCTGAGTTCAAAGGCAGTCTTCTCTCAGTTGTAACAAGCCCGGCTGAGAGCTGCCAAGTGCCCCACACTCTACTGTGGAAACACAGTTTCATATTACATAAACATTCCCGGCACCTTTAAAAGCCAAATCACACCACCTCAGACTTAGACCTCTTGTCTCAACACTCGTGTTTCTGATTCTTTTATACCTTTGAAACATCTTAGCTTCTATCTTACATAGCTGGAAAACTTTCATTTGTAGAACAAGAGGAAAATATCAATAGTTGGTTTCTTGCCACATATTAATACTTCCCTGTCCCAAATCGCCTAACATAACATCTTTATGTGAGGATGTGCTCTGCTTAGTTAAGAGCCATGGCAACCTTCCCTACATTAGTCATGGTGCCTAGTACCAAGTGCTAACCTTTATGGCATGCCAAGAACTACTTGGGAACAAACACAGACTTTGTCGGTACAGTGGAGTTCCAGCTACTCTGGCACCAACCATGTTGACAGGTGTCCTCCACTGTTCAAATATCAAGGCACTGTTAATTGCAATTTATCATGCCTTTCCTGTCTGCAAATGTCTGCTACTCGAGGCAGAATAAAAAATGTGCCTAGAAAAAGAGTTATCGCTGTGCAAAAAAAAGAAAAAAAAAAAATGCAGGAAAAGTCCCTTCCCCCCAGAAGGCACACAAAGCACCTAGCAACACCTGAACTGCCTATGGGAAAGCTACCTCCTTCTAATCAGCCTTGAAACAGTAAAAACTAAATCGTACCAGACTACTAAATCTGCTCTAGAGAAGGAAACAAACACTCGAGCCATGCTGCAAGGTGGCTGCATGGTCTTTTAAATAACAATTGAGGAACGCAAAGCTCATTAATGTGACAGGCTGACAGCACTGAAAGGTAGAAGTTTGCCATGTCTGCTGGAGTGCAGAGAGATGAAAATTCGTGCTGTTTCTTGCTGGTACCAGAATATCTTCCTCCTCACCAAGACAGACAACCCTAGCTGGATGACAGCATGTTTCAATACTCATATTTATTAAATCACTCCCTACATAAACAAACCCCGCCAACTACACACAATGTCTGGCAGTTTTATGATGTTTGTAAGTCTACAAGGAAACAGACCATCAGACTCATTGCCCTCCAGGATCCTTCTCCTCCTGCCATGTGATCAGATGGATTTCCCATGTAGCAGGTCAGGGTTATTTCACTTTGGAGGCCCAGGCACAGAAGACCGATCGTTAAAGTAGCATTCACAAGCATCTTTTACACTAGGCAGATTTAACCAAGTGCTATAGTCCATGAAATTCAGTTTAAAGCTTTGATAACATGGTAGCTGGAATAATAAATTACTAACAAAAGGATCACAGATAAATGCCTCTACTTACTGTACATTTCAGATCCTACAGAGGAATGATCATCATTTGATCCTCCCCAAACCTGGAAATAAATCTCACTAATCACCTCATAAGGAGCACCAATAGTAAGACACGTACTTGTGCCAATTCAGCTTCCTCCTGTACCCATTACAATCATCGAGAGCTACATACATGCATCAGAGGGCATTACTTGGTCCACAGGTTATTCTTCTACCATAATTATGCACATGAAACTTTAAAATATAGAGGACTTACTTCAAATTTCAGTTGCTTCTTGGAACCTGTGCGTGTGTCACTTTCTTTTTCTGTTTTCTTTTCATCTCCACTGCAAACTCCATCTGTCTTCTCTGGAGGCAAAGCCACTGCGAAAAATATATTTAAGAAAGAACGCTTATACGAAAATGTCAAAGCAGTCTTATATTTGCAAATCTGTCTTTATATTTAGGTTGAAACTGATTTCAGCAAACTTGCATGAGAGGATCATTATACTTGATTTGCTTTTGTGTTCACTGTACATCTGGCATAATTTCAGCAGACAATCTACCAACAGCTTTTGGTACACTACCTCTCCTACAAACATCACCAGAGTCACAGGAAATTCAAACACAGTATTATAAGAATATAAATAAGCAGAACTGCTACTGTAAATAAGTTGAATAATTTGCAAAGTATTGAAAGTTTGTGACATATTGCAAAAACACCAGCAGTGAATGAAGTAATGAAGTTGAAATGAAGTTCTCATTCTGTTCCAGTTTCCCTCTTCAAATACACACAAACATTACTACCTTCCAAAAAGGTAACGCTACCTGCTGAAAAGGTTAAACTGCATTTTTTCAAGTATATATGAAGTATATTTCACCTGAGTTTCAAGTTGAAATATTATGCTTTTGCATAATTCAACAGCACTCATCAATAGGAGCATCAATACTAACATCTATTACACATTTATCACAACATATCATATATATCATATATCACCTATATAACAGAAAGATAGATCGATATAGATAGATATATATAGATATAGATATAGATATATACACTTCTCATGTGGATTAAAAGATAAATGCCCAGGAGATTAACAGCCATGCCTTTGGCTCCTGCAGAGGCACTCAGTCTTGTACATGACAAAACCCTATATCTGAAGTAAATTAATTCTATATTCATCAGCATTATGAAAATATACACAGACTTTTTAGCCCTACCATCAAAATTTTTAGATATATAGACTTTTTTATGCATCCACATATCTCTGCCAACAATGTTACGCCCATACTTCATTAGGCATAGCAGCAACCCTGTCTACTCCCCAAAAAATAGAAGATATTGCGAGAATGTGGGTCTTAAAAGTCAGCATTTTTTCTCTTGCACTGCAGTATTTGCATGTACCCAAGGCCTTTATCCTAATGCTATGTAGGAATAATTTCTTGGGGATGCCTTTCTAAGTAAGATCTTAGTGCCAGTTCTTCAGTAAAGTCAGATTCCTTGCAAAAAAGGAGACACGATCCCCTTTTGTTCAGGATAACCCATTTCAAACTGGGTTTACTCTGTGGCTCTCTCGGTGTTTGGCATTACTGAAGTGCCTCCCAAGCATTCTACAGGAAAGCAAGTCACTAATGTGCTAGAAATTAAGATACTGTGTTAGCCATTTTCCAGCATTTTCTTCCACATTTAAGATAGAACAATTACATAAAAACAAACTAACAAATCTACTCTAACTATCTCTCAGAAATTCCAAAAGCTAAGATTTGTGCCACAACATTCACATTGCCACACTGCAATATACATCACATTTTCTAGTCTTATTTCCTTGTTTAGATTTAATGCTATTGTATTACCTTTCTCTTCAGTTTTCAGAACTGTGGCATACTATAAAAGATTAGAATGTGCAGTTAAAAAAAAAGAGGGAATGAGATAGAAACCCTAGCCTTTGCAATTTCCTGACTTTGATACTTAGTTGCAGTTTTAATATTATACTAATGCCATCTTCCCAACACACATATGTAATTTGCATTGTACAAATGCACACAGACATGGCATTAATCATATGCATACTGACACACTGATAGACTTTGATTTCTACACCAAACCATGTTAGGCTTCCCTATGCTAAACATAAGCTAAGCAGGAAGGTCAGCTGAATGAAGAGAAAGCCCACTTCACAGCAGTTTCTTCCCTTGCCCTTTAAAATCTGACATTATTTGGATGAGCAGGGACTATTTCTTAGGAGGCTTTTGTATTGTATTTATCATAAAGAAAGCACATATTAAAATAAATGTTATTTACAGTACAGAACTTTGATGTATGTCTGAAGGAGGGCTTTATACTCTATACTTTGTCCATAAACACAACTCCATATTCCTAGAAGTTCAAAGCTAAGACCACAAAAAGATCCCCTCCATAAAACAAAAGCCAACATTTGGTTGTCTACCTTAGTCCAGACTTCTTGTTTCCTTCTAAAATCAATAAGAAATGAAAAGGTAATGTGGGCATTCAGAACAAGGACTGTAACACTGCCAGTGGTTCTTCATAACTATCAAATATGCCCCTAGATCTTCAGTGGCTCATCTGTGTCAGTGATCACTTTTCTCACATGAACAGTTCTAACTAACCTGACAAACATCTTTATAAGGGACTTGTGCAATCCCTCACAATCTCGCTGTAGGGAATGTGAAATAAATGAAAGCTGGGATGGTATGACCCCTAGCTTTGCTGAACAGTGGACAACAAATCAGGAAAAAAAAAATTCACCCCTGTTATCAAACATACTTTTAAAAGTATACAGGTACATAATGGCCAAAAGACTTCTACAGTTGTCTGTCATCTGTTAAGGGACAGCATGCCAAACAACACTGGCATGGCAAACAGCATGAGGCTGGGAGCGCTGAGGAGCAGATCCTGCACAAGGTGACTATTCCCTGCCCCAGTGCTCTCTGTTGGGTTTTTCTGTCAAAACGAAGTGTCTTACAGAGCATTCTCTCCCTGCCACCACCACCACACTCCTGAACTGTGCTGGAAAGTGCCGGCATGTGCAAAGAACACCAGCATTCCCCAGTCACAGGGTGCTTCAGAGAGGAACGGCACAGAGTTACCTTCTGGTTTCAGGAACTGCCCTTTCACTGGCACGTTTAATAATCTTTCTGGATGTACAGTTTGTGTGTTCAGATAAGAAGCTTTCACTTTAATGTATAATTTATGTAACAGATGAAAAATGTGCTCTGACAAATTAGTCTTCTCAAAAAAACAAGAGTTCAGCTATTGGGGAAGGAGGGGATACATCTTGCAGTACACTCCTTGGGAGAGTTTAAATACTGTATGCCAGAAATTATCCTCTTTGAGCTTCGCTGACCTTTGATCTGAAGAACTCATTGGCCTTGCTGCTCCAGGGAATTATCCATTGAAATCAGTTGCTCATTTTGGAGCTCAGATGAAATGGGGCAATCTGGTGATCTCATCCTGATGTCAAGTTTCATTCAGCAAAGAAAAATGAAATCTAAATGAGGAAACTTTAAAGGGGAATAGGGAGGTATTAAAATAATATTTATGAGTGATCAAATAATGTGTCTGTGCATATATTCTCTGCAAATTTAAAAATACATATTGGAGTACGACTGTTTTGTCTGGGAAGAGAAGGGTAAGTGTTTGGTATCTTGTTTCTATACTTAGTTTTGACTATTGACATGCACTCAGTTTCATGAAGGATACAAACACATGCTGAAACTACTTATAAATACAACGAGAATGTCTGCTTTGGACAGTTAAAACTGGCAGCCTGTAAACAGAGATTCACCAGTGAGCCACATGCCAAGGTTCAGATATATTCACAATGTGAACTTCCTTTCAGATCTGCCAATGATATTTAAGTAGCCCAGACAAGATAGTTATCTCAAAGGAGTGGGGAGAATTAATAGACTTGTGTTTCCAAAGTCTAGGGCATCAGAAATAGGTCCACATACAATACATCATCTGTGTAAAAATACTTACTTACCTCCCCACTCAGATAACAAGTCCTGACAAAGAGAACGTGCTATATAGACAAATACAGAGAAACCTACCCTTGTTGTGGGAATCCACAACTGGAGGGGAAAAAAAAAAAAAAAAAGTATATTTATTGCTTCTCATGGGAATAACCATATGCTCTCAAAAACAATGTTCTCTAACAGAATGTTTCATGAATTGAAATACTGCATATGTTTTCTTTATGATGTTCTCTTTTCTTGTTCATTATTAATGGTCTTGTATTCACTTCTATAACCTTAAGACACTATAAAAATGCGTCTGGACAATATTTGAAATTGGAAAGACAATAAAGGAAAAATATTAACTTGGAAAAATTGTGAAATACCATTCTTTCATGAAAAACAAACTGACTGGCTTAAGTGTACTAGCAGATGTTTCTCTCTAAGATTGTTAATTACTACCACCCAATTGCTCATAATTGAGGTGGGGGAGGAAGACAGGGAGAGAATGAACACCAGTTTAAAGGTATTAAGACTCATCCCTGAAGAATTAAGGGTTTTTTCAGGGGTTTATTCATTCCTAAGAAAAGAAGGGGGTAATAATTCCAACTGCTCCATAAGAATCACCAAAAAAATCCCAGAAATGAGGTAAAACCAATTGCTGTGCTGCATGTATTGAATGAGCATATAATACTAAGCTTCAGACAGCCAAACCATACTTCAGTCACCTTCATTCTGCATCTGAGAATAAGGGGGAGAAAAAACAGCCAAAATACAGCTCCAGTCAGATGGAAAAGTGACTGTTTAAACTTTCACTCTCACTCAGGAGGCTTGTCATTTCAGATTTCTCAAAGCCTCATTCAAGGAAAGCACCATATTCTTTAACAAATTCTCTTCCTTCTCTACGTAAGGATAGTTTCCCTCTGTTTTTCAATTGTACTTAGCATTTTTGTCGGATTAAGAGGTTCTCGTGGCCAGAAACAAAAAAGGATGCAACTCTGATGAAAGTTCAGGTCTATATTACAGCTACCAAGTCCAAATTTGCACAGCAGTTAGGAGAACTTGGGCTAAAGATGAGCTACTTGAGAGCCTCTTTGGGATGACAGTCAATCCAAAAGGTATGTGATGTATCATGGGGCCTTAACTCAGAAAACAGAAGTACGGGAGAAGCTAAGCAATTACACAGTGATAAATTATGACTGGACATTACCAGTAACTATTATCTTAACGTCAGGGTCATCACCGTGTAATTTTTGAGAGAAAGCAGAGTAAAGATAAAATTGGAGAATTGACAAAAATGTCACCTATGAAAGTCAGCATCTGGCATACATGAAACCAAATTCTTTGAAGGGAAATATTATTAGCCTTCCCCTCAAGTCAGATAGGCTGGATTCCACAACAAT